TTAAGATTGTGATCAGAAATTTGTCAAGTATGGAATAACTAGGATTGTGATCAGAAATTTATCACAAATGGAATTATTAAGATTGTGATCAGAAATTTACCAGATATGGAATTATCAATATTGCCATCAGGAATTATCCCGACATGGAATTATCAGTATTGTGATCAGGAATTTATCAGGTATAGAATTATCAAGATAGTAATAAGAAATTTATCAAGCATGGAATAATCAGGATTGTGATAAGGAATTTATCAGATATGTAATTATAAGTATTCCCAATAAGTACACATAGGTTGTCAATATTATAAAATCCCATCATAAAAAGTACCAAAGTGAACATTTCACTTTTTGCCTTTTATATAAAATTTCTATGTCAGCATTATAAAACCCCCATCAATAAAAGTACTAAAATGAACATTTCACTTTTTATCTTTTATTACAAGTTTCTATGTCAATAAAATCCCATTACAAGTCCTAAAATAAACATTCCACCTGTTTACTTTTCATTACAAATTTCTATGTCAATAAAACCCCATTACAAGTACTAAAATAAACATTCCACATTTTTGCCTTTTATCACAAATTTCTTTGTCAATAAAACCCCTCACAAATGTACACGTCAAACTTTCCACAGAATTTCTAGAAAATCAAACTTTTTTAAAACAGGCCGAATCCCCCGAAAAATTGTCAAAAGTGTCAAAAAGGCTCTAATGAAGTGGCTAATGAAGGGTCACAATAAACCTACCAACGAAAGAGAGTTGAAGTTAAATAATTGATCAGATTATCCACGAGAAATCTCTAAATCTCCTAAATATACATGTTGACCATTGCAATTTTTTCACCACATGAACCCCTTTTTTCCGTCGCGTGTAATGGCTAGCAAGTCTACCAAAACACGGCTGGTAACACTTATTCGTCGGCACGTAACGTTTCCACTTAAGCGTGGCTGCGTCAGGTGGTGGCGCGGGCTTCAATGTTACAAGGGTTTCACCCTCAGACCTGTCATACATATGTAGGCGTAATTACTCCAGCCAACGGGAACCCTTAGAAAAATAAGCAGCGAGCTCGAGGCGGATTTCGAGTCAGCTATCCGATCCCTTTGACCAGGGCCGACCCTCCCTGCAAAAGGGCCCTGGTAAATCTTTTGTGACAATTTTTTTTATGCAAACCATTACATTTTTTTTGGGAAGAAGGTTAACTCTTTGAACTTGATATTTTTATTGTTGGCAAACAGCTACTTTGAAGTTGAAGATATTTTTATGGTAATTTGTTATTAATTATGTTTGTATATTAATTGACTATTGTCTGTATTAATATATTTATGCATCACATGTGTAACACTATGTCACCATGAATTTTTAGCTAAACAATATAGGTTTCATTTTTATTATTTTCTTTGTCTTTTTCTTCTAGCACCCCTATCTTTTTTCTAATTTTTTAAACTAATTTTTCATTTTTAATTTTAACTAATTTTTCTCTTTTATTTCTTCTATTTCTACCTTGTATTTTTTTATTCCTATCTTGTGTTTCTTTTATTCCCATCTTGTATTTCTTCCATTTCTTGCAAATTTTCTCTACCTTTTATTTCCTGTATAACCAGCTACCCGATCGTTTCGCCCCTAAATGGCGGCCCTGAGCCACCAACCACTCGAACTTTTCCTTCCTGACGACGGACACAAAAGGTCCAGCCTTCTTTTCAGCGCCGTGACGTTCAATCGTACAAAAAGGAAGTGACAGGCTGGCGAATTAACTCGATGCTTCGTTTCCCTTCTAACAGGGACCACGTAAACATCCGTTTTTACGGAAGCGACGCTTTATTTTTTACGGAGCTTTGTCCTTCCCTCGCGACTGGGGTGCAAAATCTCCGTTTTCAATGTACATTAAAGTATTCGAACAATAAGATGTTCGTTCTTTATGCTAGATGTTAATTACAGTGCTCGCTTGATAAGTACACGTTTGATAAATTCCCGTATCTCCCCTCTTTTCCCTCACACGTCTGGAATTAAGTTCGTGAGAAATTGTTTATACGAATCAATTCCAATTGAACTTGGTTTTGGTGATTTGTTAGTGACTTGTTAATTTGGTGATTTTTTGACTGAGTGAAAATCATTTCTTTTTTTTTTTTGAAATAAAATAAAGAAAAAATAAATTATAATGTGTAGTTTGGTTTTATATGTAAGAGATTTAAATACAGTATGTTTTTTTGTTAAACTTTCTTAATTTGTTATAATGTACATGTGTATGTAAAGAAATGCATATGTACGAAATATATGTATACATGTGAAAATATATGTAACGTATGCATATGTGTAACATATGTGAAATGTACGTAACGTATGCATATGTGTAACGTATGTGAAATGTACGTAATGTATGCATATGTGTAACGTATGTGAAATGTACGTAATGTATGCATATGTGTAACGTATGTGAAATGTACGTAATGTATGCATATGTGTAACATATGTGAAATGTACGTAATGTATGTAAACTGTGCATAACATATGTATATGTATAATATGTGTAAAATGTACATAATGTATGTGTATGTATAACATATGTAAAATACACATAATGCATGTATACGTATAATATACCTAAAATGTACATGACGTATGTATAACATATGTACATTATATATAATTTTAAAGAACACATGTATATAAAGAAAATAAATAATATACGTATATATATTGAAAGAAGTAAAATGAGAAAGCAAAATATGCAGAAAAATCGCGAGCTTGCTCTCTTCATGGAATCGTCTCCATATAAACTGGACTTATGCACACGTACAGTGTTTCCTTCATTGTGGACGCGAGCAGAAGGTATATTTTTCTCAGTTTCACAGGTTCATTTGCAAAAACGAACGAAATTTTAATTAAATGTAACGCTACCATGCTTCCTCGCTGCGTGAAAAGACTCGTTGGTACATTCCAGTTATGGGATTTGACTTTCAAATTCTTATTAAAAGGACGCGTTATGCATTCAAAACCTGAGCGAACGTGTACCCAGAAATTCGCTAAATTCTGAAGTTTAACAGAGTATATGTGTCGCGTGTATACTTGCAATTTGAATGACGTTCAAACAGCGTACAAACAAACGGATGGGATATGAACTTTGTTCGAAACAGAATTACCACGGCGAATTCGGATGAAAATTTGAATATTTGAAGATCTGGGAATTTCAGGGTTTGAGAGTTAATGGATTTATGGATTTGAGGAATTGAAGATTTGTGGATTTGTGGATTTAAGGAATTGAAGATTTGTGGATTTGTGGATTTGAATTTTTAAATTCACTTCTTCCTTAATTATTAAATTTCTGAATTTGAAAATTTAATATTTCTGATTTTGAAAATTTGATTTTTCAAAATTTGGAAATTTGATGCTTCTAATTTTAAAAATGTGATATACCTATATACCTAACCTTACTATAACCTTATGTAATCTAACCTTACTATAACCTTATATAACCTAACCTTACTATAACCTCATATAACCTAACCTTACTATAGCCATATATAACCTAACCTTACTATAACCTTATATAACCTAACTTTACTATAACCACATATAACCTAACCTTACTATAACCTTATATAACCTAACTTAACCTTAAAAATATTCAATATATAACCTCAAAAATATCTAAACCCAACCTTACTAATATCTAAAATATAACCTGAAAAATATCTAAACCTAACCTCACAAATATCTAAAGCATAACCTCAAAAATATTAAAACTAACCTAAATAAACTTTAAAATCACAACTCAAGGCTGTAACACAAGAACTCTTCAAGGCTGAATATCTCACGAAAGTTTCATTTTCACGAGTATAGTTCCAAAGATGATTAAAGTAGCTATAAATTACGTTGCCAAACGAATCTGTATAATACCACGTGCTCATAAATTTCTTTCTACCCCGTTAAATGCAATTACGGGTTATTTAATTTTATCACGTAGCTACATCATTATTCCTTGTTCATTTAGTGAAGTGCCGCTGTATAATTAAATTTGTTGGTGATATTATAACGCGCCCGATAACAGTATTCGCTAATGATGTAAACAGATGATGGATATTGACAAAGACGCAATAATGCTCGGTCAGGAACGCGACAATAACATCTCTTATTAATTAAAAAACGATGCGCAGATACAATTCAATCTCTGAACAGTAATTAATTTACTATTTAAACGTATCAAATAATTAGTTTTCTTCACGTTGTTCGATTTACCGAGAAAACATTCATTACAAAATGGCATTTCGATATTAATACTGATTGTTTTATGGCGTTTCGGTACGTTGAGTATCAATTTACGTTAATTAAAACGCTTGACGCACACGGTGCGTTTTACCAATTCAATTGATTCTCTTTTTCTTCAACTGACTCTTACATTTTTTTTTCTCAACTGATTTTTATATATTTTTTCTCAATTGATTCTCGTGTTTTTATACTTTTCTCACTGGCTATACAAGTCAACGACAATTTGCAAGATTTTCCAGATTTTCAATTTTGACCAAATTTTATTTTCTCATTTCTCTTTTTATTCAAACGCTGATAAGACAAAATGTTGCCCTTTAGATACTATTTTGATAGACACACAAAAATTTCACTTTTCCAATACATAAAATTTTGACGCAAAGTTGACGCATCCGATGCGTCATACAAAGTATAAAACATACAGCATAAAACAAGAACCTTGTTAGAACTAATAACAAGAGGAGTTAAAAAGGGTAACAATATTTCTCAGAGGTCAAGAAATAAAATTTCTACAAAATTACAGAATGAGTATAAAATAAATTTCATCGTTAATTGCAAATATTTTATGACAATATTTTTATAAATTCTGAGACTCAAATATAGTGAAAGATACTCCAGTAAGAAGTTACCGTTGATAAATTACATGTTTCAAGCTTATCTGCGGATTTCTGTAAAACAAAGGTTAAAGTTTTCATTAAAGGTGTCAGCGGTGATAAAGATCGTTTCTCTCTTATTTAACAGGACGAGGGTTGGAAACTGGACCGTACAAATTACTACCAGGAAGGATGGCTGGCCACTGGTAACGCTCGTGGCCTGGTAGGGGTGACTTTTACCACGTCCCATTGCAGGACAAGAGCCACGGAATTTCCGCTCAGAGCAAATTACAACCTTCGTGGACATCGTAGCGAGGTAAGTTTTATATCTTTTTTGCTTTTACACACGTTCCCTCTCATTTCGCCGATCGTTCCTGTTCCTCTCTTCAAACTACTCTAGCGACTAATAGCGTCGACGTTCTTAATCTCCGGTAGAGACATAGCCAGACTTATTGGAGCCCCGGGCAACAACTTTTGTCATACAGAAAATTTATAGATTCCAAAGTTTCGACACTTTGTTATTTCTTTTGCTAGTTTATTAATTTGAACATTTTCTGTTATGAACATTTAAATTTGAAGATGTATGATTATGATGTCTACATGTCCATGTTTAAAGCTATAGAACAGTGCAAATATGAAAGTGATTAAATTTAAAAAATTGATGAGTTTGATCATTTTTAGGTGTTCATGATTAAAAGCATAAAACTGTGCAAATATGAAAGT